GTTTAATTTCTCGTTCATTTTCTCGTTCTTCTTGTTTCTTTTCTTTTTCCTCTAACAACTGCTGTAATCTCGCTTCTTGTTTAATTTCTCGTTCATTTTCTCGTTCTTCTTGTTTCTTTTCTTTTTCCTCTAACAACTGCTGTAATCTTGCTTCTTGTTTAATTTCTCGTTCTTCTTGTTTCTTTTCTCGTTCTTCTTGTTTCTTTTCTCGTTCATTTTCTCGTTCTTCTTGTTTCTTTTGCTGCTCTTGTATTGCAGCCATCAAGTCTGCTATGCTGTAGTTTTATTTTCTCGTTCTTCTTGTTTCTTTTGCTGCTCTTGTATTGCAGCCATCAAGTCTGCTATGCTGTAGTTTGATTTGCCGCTTCTCGTTTCCATTTTTTTATCCCACTCCTGACACAAATTTGTTACGTCTCCGTTTGTTAATTAACTTTCCGTAACTTCGTTCCGACGAAACTTTAGCGACACAAGTCCTTACTTAATAAAACTGGTTTATTCTTTCCGAATACAACTTAACGATACACTTATTTTCAACAATCGCGCTAAAACAAACGCTATATCAACGAACGTCAATAATACTTCTGACTGCAGTTCAATTACTCACTATCTACACACACATTACATTATTCTCCCGTCACGTTGTCACCCTCTTTTATATACCAGACTACTCTATATCTAGTAAATACTAGAGCATTCGCCAAGGTACGGGATAGTTCTAGAAAATAGGTGGCGCCACACCAGTCACGTGACCTCGATGACGCAACAGTATTTTAAACTTGTACGTCAAAAGAACTTCGGTAACAATGTGCATTTATAGTGTGTATATGCATGTTTATATATAAGTCATTAACTTGCCAGACATGAAATATTATGTTTTGTACAAAATGTCAGACACGTGATTAACTTCAGAGCACTTTTTTGAAGTAGAGAGCTTACTACAAGTTAGAATTTAATACTGAACTAAAAATACATAATTTTCTCTAAATGATTTGATGATCTATATACGTATAAACACTAGTATATAACATGTGTATGTATATATAAGTAATCAATAAATATAGATAACATATTAACGTTAATTGTTTACTTGTTTAGTATGGATCCAATTTTGTACTCATTTTCTTTTATTATCTGACTCATATTGGTGTCATGCTAATGTGAGTATTGTAATCATTGAATGCACACATAGAACTTGTATTTTAGGATGATCAACATCAAAGTTCAAAATAAATAGACGTTAACCAACTTCTTTCTTTCCTTTGTACCATAGAAACTTTCAAACAAAAGAGTAATTTACAGGAAAACGTAGTCTTCACTTTTATATATGTTTTGATTATAAAGTCAGCTCAGTTTTATAAATAGGCCAAAGGTATTTATTACTCGATATAAATAAGACAAAAGTGTTATTGGTTTACTTAAGATTTTTTTCCTCAAGCAAAACGTGAATTCCAGTGAAGAGAAGATGACGTAAAGAGAACTAACCTATTCTTAGATTCGCTACTCACGTATCAGTTACACTAATGAGTAAAGGACTATACATGAAAACCAAACAAATTTTATTGATTCACAATTATTCAATCAGGTTTTCTGTAACTTGTATTTGTTTAATTTATGTTGTTTCTGTCAGGAATATAATCGTTGTTTTTCAGTTTATATTTTGATTTGCTCTAGCGGTATTGGAAGAAATATTGTGTGTTGGTTTTTCCCATGTTAATACCCCCGTGTCTTATTAGTGTATCTGAGTTCTTATAACGCTAAAACGCTGGTTTCGATACAAACGGTGGGCAAAACACAGGTAGCCCTTCGTGGAGCTTTTTCTTAAGCACAGAAAGCCCTTTGCACGAAATTAAAAAAAAGAAGTAGGAAAAGAAACATGCTTTGCCTTAGCAACAACCAACAATAGTCTATATTAATAAGCCCTACTATGTTTAAAGTTTTTCGAATAATTTGATGTTGTTTAGAACAGCAATTGACATATAACTATAAATCAGAAGTCAGACAAATCAGAGAAAGAAAAGAAGTAATATAAAGTAAACAAACTATTTGGTAGATTTTTCTTTTTCTTATTATTCCATAGGTTTGGAGGAAGCTCGCGAAGCCGTGGCACTTTATACGTCTTGTCCAGGAGCATCTATTGAGGCCAAGGTAAGGCAGACGTATTGTTTTTCTCTTTCAGTATTTATTAACATTTTCTACATTCAACTGGTAGACACTACTCAAGGCTAAACGTTTTATTACTTAGATTTTGTTTGCCATATAAATTATAAAAGAAACGTGCTTTTGTTTTTATTTTCTTTTATCTCCCCCTTGTGACTGTACAGAAATTGGATGCTAAAGAAGAAAACGAAAATTATAGACAAAATATTTACCACATCGTGAGAATAATTTCTTCGTACCATATCCATTTTCTACCAAAAATAATATATGATATTTCATTAGTATTTTTGCTGATAAAACTAATAATAGTAATAAGCTTTCTAAGCTTCTTGAACGATATTCGTTTTAAAATAAGCTATATATTTGTCTTTAGATGTGATAGTTGAAGATTCGGAATTTATTTTATTTCATTTTGAATATTCCCTTTTCGCCACCTTGCAGCTTTCTTCAGAACCTTGCTTGCGTCACACCGTGAAAGAACGTCACAGGATTTTGTTGAATGAATGATGAGCATCTTTTTTTGAGACAATCTCACTATCGTAAATTTATTTTAATGTTTATTATATTTTGGCAATATTATATTTATAAACAACATTTATAAGAGAGAGACGATAATCTTTCGTCTTCAGTGAATATTATAATAAACTTTTGTATCATAATTTATCATTCTTTAAATACGGCGGTGTATTGTATCTTTATTTCATTTGTGTGATGTACTTAACAGGGTGATAGAACAGTATTCAGGTATCGTTTTTTACAATTACGAGGAAATTTTAATCTTAATCTTGGCAACAGGGTTTGGTTTCTTTGGAAATTCACGCAAAGCCACACGAGGGTTATCTGCGCTAGCCTTTCCGAATTTAGCGGTGAAAGACTAGAGTGAAGCCAGCTCGTCATCACTACCCACCGCCAACTTTTAGGCTGCTCTTTTACCAATGAATACTGGAATTGACCGTCACATAATAATGTTTCCACGGCTGAAAGGGCGAGAATGTTTGGAGAGACGGGGATTCGAACCCATGACCCCCAGATTGCGAGTCACCACTCTAACTACCTGCCCGTGCTAGGCTGTGACAATAGGGACTTGAACATTACTAGTATGAATAAAAAATATTGTGACGTGCTTCTTTCTTTGCGCTTGAAAAATAACGTCCAGTCCATGCGTAGTTCTCTCTAGCTAACTTCTTTGTTGCAGCTTTAAAAACATATGGCTTATAGCATTGCCCACTTCCTGGATCGTTAAGTCCATTCATTGAACAATTCTAATGCAAAAAATAAAACACCACATTAAATTGTTCAATCATCAAGCTTTCGAATATATTAGAACTTTACCTGACAAACTTACGAATTCCCTACAAAAGGAATAAATTTAGGGGGCCCGATTATTTTTTATGTGGGGAGGGGGCATCTTTCGTAGTTATTCCATTGAACTTTTAGTCAAATTCTTAAAAGAAGACTTTGCGTCACAACCTTATATCGTTCCAGATACTCTATCTAGATCTATTTTAACTTCCCGAACTTAACATTATCATTAAGACGCAAAGCTTCCTCTAGCTAACTTCTAAATTGCAACTTTAAAAACATATGGCTTACAAAACATTACCTACTTCTTGGATTATGAAGTCCATTAACAATCCTAAAACAAAAAATAAAACACACACTAAATTGTCCAGTCATCAAGTTTTCTTTCGATGCTTTTATCTTCTGAGGCCTACGATATATTAATGGGATCGTGTCTTGCCTCTTGTTGTCACTGACCATTCTATCGCTGGTATAGTTCTTCGTGGGCAGGTGTGTCAGTTGAATTCACTGTCGGTTATGTCATTGATGATCCTCTGGAAGCACGCACACGAAAGAATGTACATAACATTAAAACGTTTTTAAACTTATTTGTGCCATCCATTTTGTGATGAGTCACTACTTCAAAAAATATTATAGGTTACTTTAGAAATGGATGGAATAATCAATCATTTTAATTTACTCTGTGACTTATATCAGCAAAATTAAGTGTGAAGTATCTGATTATCTTTATTTTTTAGAAAAATTCAAGAATGAAGCATAACAACTTTAATGAAAAAATGTTATATCGCTTCAAAAGCTTATAAAATATAATTATTTTTATCCAGAATGAAAACATAGTTAAAAACGGACTAATTTTGGAAAAAAGAGTCGTAATAATCTTCGATATTTAGGAATTTTGAATAAAATTTCCTCTTTTCAAGCCTTTATATTAAGCATTTGGTTCCATTATGCCCTATTCACTAGCTGAAGAAATAGTGCTAATAACTCCTGGTCCAAGTAGTTCATTTCTTGGTGGTGCAATGACCACTGTCTATATTTCCACTTTAAGTTTAATTTCTGATGTTCTAATTGTCATGTAGTACATAGAGATTTCTTGATACATAAAACAGTTTGAATATATAGATTATCTAATGAGTCTTTATGAAATACCTCCAGGGTGTTAGTTTTTCATTAAAAGTAGCGTTAATTTCTTATATATATATTAAGGCGCTACATATATTAGGACGTTTTATATCTGGGGTTTCATCTACAAATATGACTGTTTATATATATAATTCATATAATACATTGTTAAACATAGGAACACACAATAATAATATCAACGTGAGCAAAATGCTGTTGTTTTATTTTTTTTTTTGTAATTTTTATGATTTTTCCAAATTATGGCACGAAATGGACTTCCGTAGTTGTGAAAATCGACCAAGTCACGCCACTGATTTTTTTTAATTTCTTTTGTAAGGCATTATAATGAAGCTTATATTATAAATTTAGCGTTATTTATCAAAAACAATAGCTTTCCATCACTTTATACATATAAATACGCATTATTTTTACATGTTTGCCATCCGCGAAACGCATTGTATTTTTGTATTTGATTTAGGGCAAAGCTCACAAGGCCTATCTGCCGCCGAGAAAACGCATGACACAATCTGATTCATCGTCTATTTGCATAATTTACGGACGTTTTAGCAGTATAAATCAACTAGAATATACGTTTTGCACATACAATAAACAATACAATGCAAGAAACTTACCATTTCTAGTTTGTTTTCTTCTCACTACTTCAACAGTGTGTATCACCGGTCACTAACAAATTTTTGAGAAAAGCATACATTATACGGTGGCTTGTATGTACCACTTATAAAATGGCAAAATTTTCTTTTTAAAATCTTTTTTTTTTGTAATTTCCC